TAGAGGCACGATCGATGTTCTTGATGGGTGTTCACTAACGCCTATCAGCCAGCCTGGATCAATGTCAGAAAGTCCTCTTTAAATAGCGTGGGGCCGTTGTAACTTTTGCTCTCGCACTCACTTGTTCGGAATATAGCGGTTGTGAGTCTTTTTTACCGGCACCAGGCACTGGGGCGGGTTAGCGGCAGATACCACAGGTCGGCGAATGGGTAGATATAACACGTTCACAAGGATGTGGCGTGTGGATGAGTCCAGTCTGACTTATAAGCCAATCACACTCAGAAACGAATACATTGCTCACCCTCAACCGCGATTTACCCAACAAGACTTGTAGTTTCATTCCTCTGTGGTCCGTCTATTGACAACTGTATTGTTGCTGCAATTTGATTGCTTCAGTGATCCCGGGAGCAGGTACGTGAACGATAGAATAATATTTTTTTCCATGGGAATGCTGATCCATTTGCAAACCGGTTTAACGGAAACAAAGTAGTCGCAGTGTGTAGTGTCAATGCAGAGATCGCGCACAACTGTTTCCAAATCACAATTTTTTTGAGAAGCACATTTCCTGAATTTCGGAATGGTCCCAGTTTGTGCAACTCCTCAAGACACAACTTTCGGTTTTCCATTGCGTGACTTTTTTTGTACAGCATAATATATTAGGTGTATGACGCACACTCTGGGGAACAAATGCACCTTGTATTCATCCACATCGGAAAGAATTATTCTGAAATCAGTATCCAAGCGGTCGGCATTGTAACCACAGTTGTTTCTACAACGTATCGTAAAAGAATAATTGTTGATCATGAAGTTGAATGAAATCATTCAATTTCCTATGTCATCGTAATCATTCAGAAGTCACATTTCAATGTTAATTTTACAGATCCCATAGTTTGTTCGTCCTGGGGCATTTTCAGCAATGTTGCTTTTTATTCAAAAAACAATCTGTGCGTCAAATCCGCGAATAGCGTAACTTGCCCCGTATTCTATCGCTAATCAAGGAACCTTGTCGGAAATGGGTCCACTCAAAATTCCATCTAGCTCGTGGTTTGTCTGTCATTTATCTGACTGTTAGAATTTGCAGGTGAACTTTGGAATAAATTCTGACCATTTGGGGATCTACTTTTGCCAAATTTGGACAAGCCAGAAGTCGCAAACGGATTGTTTTATCACCGGAACTAGAGCTGTCATAGTGCAAAATATGATATAAAAAAAGACGTAAGTATCTTTGAATCAGGTCATCTCCAAGTAGTATCACGTTGGAGTGTCGCACGATTAGACGAGTCTCCTCACACTATACTTATTTTCTGAGTGTGAGTGGTACTGCACAGCGAACCTAATAAACGTCAAATGGTGTACTATGTCCTTTGCGTTCTTTGTAAAATGTTCAGACATATAGGCGTTGCACACATCTGTCAGAACCCTCCAACACCCCTCTTGCGTGGAACAGCATAGGAGAATTCGGAGTGTTCGGAAGAAATTTCATTGGTACCGGATATTATAATATGTCTTTTCCGAGTACTTTGACTACTCTCGATGAAAAAAATTGTCTGAAGCAAAAGGTGTGGTCTTGTGAAATACAACCTCTCCGAGAAACCAACCGTTGTCATAGCCCATGTTATCTCTTTGGTAACTGGTGTGTGTATACGAGCATGTTTGTATAAGGTACAATGTGTTGCTGAGAGAGCGGCGGTTTGAATGACGGACGTTGAGTAGATGTCTACTTTCTCGCAGAGTGACAGGAGTAGAACATCCGCCCATATGTGAAGCACTTTTGGATGCCCCTGAAAAAATGTTTCTTCCTTAGAATACATGCAGTCCTGATTCGACTGAAGTACAATAAACATTCGACTTTCAAGGGGATCACCCGGAACCCACTTGAAGCCCTTGTTGATGAATTGAAATGCAAATGAGTGTATTTATTCGATTTCGGGCTTTTTTGCTTGACTGGAACAGAAGGTATACGAAACCCCAAGAACTGAGCCTACAGACTGGACCCCAAGAATGGTGTGTCCAATCGAGAGCTGTCGCAGATTTCGTCCTTTGTCAGTATTCCTACTGGCGAATCCGGATGTTAGGCGAACTTACCAGAATTGTCTTCTAGAGCCTCTTCCAACTCTGCCATCAGCTGTGAACTCATTCTGGGACGGGATCGCCACATTTTTGCACAGTGTTGGAAGGTTTGCTTATGGCACGGCGCTAACAGGCTCATACAAGCACTGCACATCAGACCGAACGACAGTACTGGAGAAACATCCAAGCTGGTCCCGAACATAACGTGATGCGACGAATTATCAGACGTCAAATATAAGTGAGCGTGCAAGCTAACCGGGAAGTCTGGTGGACAGAAAATGCCAAGAAAAAATAAGAGGCACAGAAAACGGGCAACGCCCGAAGATTATTTCAGTTGATCCGTGCGACCAGTCCCCGGAAACCACTTGTGAGCGAAATCATCAAGGACCTGAATGGAGTGACCACCTTGAATAAAGAACACCCCGACCTGTGGGCCACATACTTAAAAAGACGATTGTTATGGCCACAAACTGCTACTCATCTGAAGCACACAGCTGATATAGAACCCTGGACGGTGAGCATGGAACCACGTACGACCGCAGAGGTTTACGACTGCATATGTTCTCTTAAGCGCCGCCGAGCTTCTGGTCCGTATGACCACTTCAGTCAAAGCTTGCATTGGCAAAAGGAGGCTGCCACTGATAACTGGGAAGAGCTGGTGATAATGGCCATGTACAAAAAAGGGGCTCAAAGTGAGTATAGTAATGACAGGGGAATCAGCTTAACCCCGCTTGTAACGAAATGATAGCATCACTTTTTCTTCGTCGCCTTATTATGGCTCGCG